CTCCTCAGTCACAGGCACACAAACTTCAGTCAGAGGCACACACACCTCAGTCAGGGTCACACACACCTCAGTCACCAGCGTACACTCCTCAGTCATAGTCACACCCTCCTCAGTCATGGCACACAGTCACCATCACACACACCTCAGTCACAGCTCATACACTTCAGTCATGGGCACACACACCTCAGTCACTGGCACACACCTCAGTCACAGGCACACACACTTCAGTCATGGGCACACACACCTCAGTCATGGTCACACACACCTCAGTCACAGTCACATACCTCAGTTACTGGCACATATTCCTCAGTCACAGTCACACCCTCTTTAGTCACGGGCACACAGTCACTGGCACACACCTCAGTCACAGCTCATACACTTCTGTCACGGGCACACACACCTCAGTCTTGGTTACACACACCTCAGTCACTGGCACACACATCTCAGTCACAGTCACACACACCTCAGTCACAGTCACACCCTCCTCAGTCACAGTCACACACACCTCAGTCATGGTCACACACACCTTAGTCACTGGCACACACATCTCAGTCACAGTCACACACACCTCAGTCACGGTCACACACACCTCAGTAACAGTCACACCCTCCTCAGTCACAGTCACACACACCTCAGTCATGGTCACACACACCTCAGTCACTGGCATACACCTCAGTCATGGTCACACACACCTTAGTCCTGGGCACACACACCTCAGTCACTGGCACACACCTTAGTCACCGGCACACACACCTCAGTTACTGGTTCACACTACTCAGTCAGAGGCACACACACTTCAGTCAGAGGCACACACCTCAGTCATAGGCACACAAACTTCAGTCATGGGCACACACACTTCAGTCATGGGCACACACACCTCAGTTGCAGTCACACACACCTCAGTCACAGGCACACACACCTCAGTCACAGGCACACACACCTCAGTCACAGGCACACACACCTCAGTCACAGTCACGGTCACACACACCTCAGTCACAGGTATACACAGCTCAGTCACAGGCATACACACCTCAGACATGGGACATACACCTCAGTCGTGGTAACACACACCTCAGACATGGGACACATACCTCAGTCATGGGCTCACACTCCTCAGTCCAGGCACACACACCTCAGTCACGGTCACACACACCTCAGTCACAGGTATACACAGCTCAGTCACAGGCATACGCACCTCAGACGTGGGACATACACCTCAGTCGTGGTAACACACACCTCAGACATGGGACACATACCTCAGTCATGGGCACACATGCCACAGTCATAGGCACACATATCTTAGACATGGGACATGCGGCTCAGTCACAGGCACATACACCTCAGACGTGGGACACTGGCCTTAGTCATGGGAACGCACGCCTCAGATGTGGGATGCTGGCAGGTTGCATGGGGAGTGGAGTACACAGCCTCACTCAGAGGGCCACAGCTCCACCTCACCTGGTCCTCGTCCCACCCGTACAAGTCCCAGTGCAGCACCACTCGGGCTCTCTGCCGCTTCCAGATCTCTAGGAACACCGTGGCTGCATGAACAGGTTGGGGTTCAGGTGTGGTCCTCGGGGTGGTGGGGAGACTGAAGAGGCCTGGGGGAGCCTGGGGCAGGCTTGGCACTCAAGCCCCAACCCTGCCCAATGGAGGCGCCAGGTGACCACTCACCCCATAGAGCCATGAAGATGGCAAACAGCACCGTGCCGTCATTGTCAAAAAGGTGGGTGAGCTAGAAAGAGGGGTGGGTGAGCCACAGAGAGGGCGGGTAAGCTGGGGAGATGGGTGAGTGAGCTGGAGAGAAGGATGGGTGCCCTGGGGTGGGCTGTCAGTCCTCATGGAGAGTGAGCCCAATTCTGGGGTCTCGGGCCTCAGCTCATCTCTGGTGGTCACACCTGCTGCCTTCCAGATCTGGGGTGGACCCCAGGGGCAACGAACCTTGGCAAAGGTGCAGGTGTCCGAAAGCCGCTGGAACTTGCGGCCATGGTCGCCGAGAGGACACATGAAGATGTCGTGGGCCTCACAGATCTCCTTGCTGGGGTGCGGGGTTGGGCTGGGGTCTACTTTGCCAGAGCAGGGGAACCCCCTCCCCCCCCCTCCAGCCCCAGCGTGGCCCTCGCAGTCCCGCCCACCACCAGCCTGCCCAAGCCCCACCCACCCCGGCTCAGCCCAGGGGCTAGCTAGGCCTCGCTCACCTGATCTGGCTGGCCTCGAACAGCGAGAACCCGCTCAGAAAGACAACGATGCCCACGAGGGCCGCGGGCACCAGCATATAGGTGTACCAGCCAAGCCAGGCGAAGTAGAGCGCCACCTTCTCACCAAAGTAGTTCCTGTGGGCACAGCTGCCCTGTCAGGGGCATTCTTCCTACCGCATCATAGCCACATGTTGGGGTGGAGTGTCTGGATGCATCAGCGTCTTAATTGGGGCACGTGCGGGGCGCGGACAGCCTGTTGGGCATTGTACCTGATCTGGTCGATGGGCTGCTTGTGAAACATGCTTCTCCACCGGGCCCATTTCTCCAGCTCCGCCTCCCCCTGGCACAGGGAATGGACAGTGAGTGCTCCGCCCGGGCCCTGCCCACAGGCCTCCACTCACCTTGGGCTGGCCTCACCTTATGCAGGGGGAACCTGGCCTCAAAGACTCCCTCCTTCACCAGATCCTCAAATGTCACTGGGGATCACAAGGCGACTCCAATCAGAAAGGAATGAAGGCAGGTGTGAAGGTTCCTCCCAGCCAGCTGCCCACCCCGCCCTTACCGCCAGCTGCCACTGTTTTCCTCAGGACGAAGTCCAGGATTCGGATTCTGGAACCCAAGAGCCATGTCAAGAGGGCCCTGAGTGAGCTCTGTGGCCTGGCCCTCCAGGTCCTGACCTGCCCTCTGCCCTGGCCAGGCCCAGGACTCTCCCTATCCTAAAAGAACCCCCAGGCCTCCTGTCCTATCCAGTGTCTAGAGTGTAGAACTCACCTGGAAGTCCACTGCCCACCCTCTTTAAAGTCCTCCCAGTCTGGCCTGACCCACAGCCTCCAGGTTGGGCTCTATCAGGGTCCCTTCAACCTGCACAACTCTCCTGGACACCAGGCCATACCCCCACTCCAGTTGCACCCCTACCTGCCAGCCCTACATGTCCATGGCACACCTGAGCTCTGTGTATAAACCCCTTGTCCCTGGTGAGGCTGTGCAGAGACTGAGTCCAGGTCAGTCACATGGCCACAGCCACACAGCCACAGCCCCCAGATGCCCTAGCCACCCTTAGGAACTCACCCCACGCCTGCTACTGCTCAGACTACGTTTCACTCCCCCAGACTGCAGTTCTGTGTTCAGAGGTGCCCCTGCTGCCCCCCTGCTGAGCCTGAGGGGCTGAGTGGGCTCAGTGGGGGAGGGGCTATGAGGTGGGCAATGGTGGAACAGAGGGCTCCCCACACTGGGCCTTTGGGTCTGTCCCTGCGAGGCCAGAGACAGATGTCCAGGGAAGGGCACTTGACCTGGAGAGGAGGGGTCGTTGATGGCCTCAGAATCTAGGAGGGATGCTGAGGGGCCCTCTGGGCTTCTCCAAATCCTGCCCACCCTTTAAGGTTAGCTTGACACTGGACCTTTAGAACACTCCAGAGGTCAGAATGGTTATGGAAACTGAGACACAGTGCTGTGAGCTCATAGCCAGAAGGTCTGAGCCCCTGCAGCTCCACCATGAGACCCCAAAGGACTGGTTGTTCTGCCTCAGGGGACACCCAGAGCCTTGGCCCAGGCTGTGGGTGGGTGAGGGGCCTCCTGGCCATGGCATCTCACCTAGTAGTGGCAGGGCCTTCGGGCTCCATGAGGAGGGTGCTGTACAGGTCAAAGATGTGGTTGCCAGCTCGGATCCCAAAGAAAACCTGTTTCTGGTCTTTTATCATCTGGGGCAGGAGACACATGGGACCCCTATTTCCCTTCCTCTGCATATACAGCCACTGGCTTGTCCCTGACACCTTGAGCATGAGGCCAAAGCTCCTCCCTGACCCTCTCCTGGGTCCCTGCATACCTTGGAATGCAAGCCCTTTTCCTTGAGCTTGTCCAGGAACTGCTGCTGCTGGTACACCTGTGTGGGGTTTCTCTGGGTGCGACAGTCAGCCACGAGGACATAGTCCCATTGCTCAGAGGCTTCAGTCTGCAGGAAGGAGGTGCATGGCTGAGGGCTGGGTGCAGGTGGGGAGGGCACAACTAACCCTGGATGGGCCCCCCATACACACCTCACAAGCATGGATCTCCATCAGTGGGAAGCTGTCCTCTTCTGTTCCCACCAGGATCTGGAGGTTTTCCTCACCCTGGAGGTTGGGGGGCGGAGGGATGGGTGAGACACGCCAGGTGGGTGAGCTGGCCCTCACTGGCTGGGGCCACCCTTTGGGCCAGGTGCTTAGGCCAAGTGGTCAAGACATGCCACTCCTCCCTGTCTCCCCCAGGCAGACAAAAACAAGTAAGAGGTCACTTGGGGAAGGCAGGTCCAGATGGTAGGCAGCAGGGCTGGGGCCAGAGGGCCAGAGCTGCAGCCAAAAGCCTACAGAGGTCTATGTGGGGCTTTACAGAGAGCTCCTGCAGACCCCTGGGGAGACAGAGCCCCAAGAGCAGCCCAAGGAATCAGGAGAACACAGGCAGGAGACTCGATGCACTCAGTGGCCTGCCGGAAGCCTGCACACAGCACTTGGCTATGAGAGACACTACCCCGTCTTGAGAGCTGAACACCCAAGCTGGTGCCCATGGCCTGGCCATCCACCCTTGGAGATATGCACAAGGGGTGTGCACAGTGCACCATTTCATATCCCCAGGGGGCGCGTGCAAGGAGACACTGAGGGTCCCACAGGCACCATGAAGGCCACAGCTGCTCACATTAGAGGAGCAACTGTGGGGCACACTCTGACAGGCGGGGGCTGAGTCAGGAGGCAATGGCGTCTAGGGCCTCCAAGAGTCTCCCTGACCATCTGACAATGACTGGGCAGTTTGTCCCTCCTTAAGTGTGGGCTAGACCTAGTGACTGATGAAGACAGTGTGGGAAAGGAGGATCAGTGCCTTTGCATACCTGGCAGAAACCCCTCACCCACTGAGGAGAGTCAGGGTTGCCTACAATGTCATCTGTCAGAGACCCCCATGGAACAATGAGGGGACAGGACATCTCTTCCCTGAGTCATGTCCTCCTGCCTTCCCAAGAGGAAACACTGGAATATCCAAATGGAAGGACATCCACACAATCCTGGTCGGACTCTCAGATGGCAGAGCACCAAGGACAGGGAGCAACGGGAAGACCAGACACCACATGGGATCCTGGACCGGTCAGGGACAAGAGTGTGGTGGACAGTGGACACATGCCTGCAGTTGGACTTGATGCTTTGGCAGGTGCCCAGCTGACAAGAGATGCTCTCCTTCAACAAAGCTGGTGAGGGTACACAGGAGCCCTGTGTTACCTTCAAAACTCTTCTGCAAATCTGAAACTATTTCAAATAACACTTTTTTTTGTTTTGTCTTTTGAGACAGAGTCTCACTTTGTCACCCTTGGTAGAGTGCGGTGGCTTCATAGCTCACAGCAACCTCAAACTCTTGGGCTCAAGTGATTCTCTTGCCTGAACCTCCCTGGTAGTTAGGACTACAGGTGCCCGCCACAATGCCTGGCTATTTTTGTTGCTGTTGTTGTTGCTTGTTTGTTTAGCAGACCCTGGGCTGGGTTCGAACCCACCAGCTCTGGTGTACCCAGCTAGCGCCCTAACAACTGAACTATGGATGCCGAGCCATAACATATTTTTTTAAAAAGTATAAGCCCTAGATGTTTATTTGCAGCATAATCTACTTTTTATAAAAAATAAAGATGTACATTTTAAAAGACTCATAGATGTTGGGAAACTGCCTCAGGAGGGAGGAGCTGGGTGGCGGCAGCTGCGGTCACCTCCAGGTGACCCTCCAGGCCAAGGACCCTCCTCAAGGACCAAGAAGGCCCCAGAAGGCCAAAACTGACTGACTGAGGGCTCCTTCGGGGGGGTGGGAGGGCAAGAGCCAGGCGGGTCAGAGTAGGTCATTGGGATGTGAGGAAGGAGCCCTCAGGAGCCTTCTTGGGTAGTAGGAAGAGGGCACTGGCTTTGGGGTCAAGAGCCCAGCCAGACACCAAGTACCTTCCTTACAAATGGTGCATGGGGCATCCTGTGTGCTGTGCTGAGCTTGTCACAGTGAGTGAGACCCTAGCATGGCTTATGTCCCAGCTGGCAGCACCTGGTGAGGCACAGGGACCCCAGACAGTAGGATGCTGCAGCACATGGGGGCTTGGCTATGTCCACCCAAGCCCCCTGCTCTGCCCCTCTCCTGAGCCCTGCAACCAAGACAAGCTGCCAGGCCCCGCCCCACCATCTCGGAGACAGGAACAGGAGCGGGATGTTGGTTTTGCCCCTGTCGGCCTCCCACTGCAATCCCTGCCCAACTCTAGACCTGCCTCCTCCAGAAAGTCTCACTGGACTGCTCTAGACAGCTGGCCCTTGAGGGCTGCCAGATAAAATAGGCCACACAGTCATATCTGAATTTCAGATCAACCACAGATAGTTTTCAGCATAAGCATATGCCAATGATTGCATGGGACATACTTACACTGAAAGAATTGTCTTTGGTTCTAAATAATTGTCATTAATTCCATTTAACTTGGTGTCTGCTTTTCTTTTTGTTGGCTAAGTCTACAGTTCCCCTCTGATCCCACACTCGCTTCCATGGCATAACCCAGAAAATGCATCAAACCCAACCAAGGAATGGCAGGTTCTTAGTCACATGGGGATAGGGTTAACACAGACATCTTCTACAGGCCCCAAAGCTACCCTGGGCTCTGAGAGCAGCTGTTCCATCTGCCTCAGTCTGCCCTTCCTCAGACAATGCTCTCCTGAGTACTCCCTGACTCACCACCAACGGCCCACAGACACCTGCGCTAAGGTGTGGCATGCAGCACCTGAAACTTCTCTCCAATTTTGGGTCAGAAGGGAAAACTGCCATCCACAGACAGGTATGTAGGGATGGGCAGGGCACTGCGTCTGACTGGAAGAGGTGCCTGTGTCTCGGGGAAGAGGGTCAAGCTTCCAGCAGATGGGACACTAGTGTCACCAGCACCCAGCTCTGCAGCTTGCCCAACCATGGAATGGCAGGTTCTCAGTCACATGGGGACGGATTTGACAGTGCCCTGTTGGAGGAACCAGTGAGGGCATGGCTCCTTGTGTGCTGATCTCAGGCCCAGGAGGAGGGCCCTCTCCACCCCTATGCCCAGAATTTCAGCTCCTCTGTCAGAGGCTAAAACTAGAGACCCCCCTCACATCAGCATGGGCCAAAGCTGAAAGCAGACAGGGGCAGGAGACTTGTAAGGAAGGGGCAGGGCAGGGGCCCAAGACCCAGATAGGGGAGCCTGCTGAGGGGGACTGTCCATGGGAACTCTCAAAGTGGGAGGTAGGAGACAACCCTTAGCCCCAGAAATGGGGCACAGAAAGCCCCCTCCCCACCAAAGACCGTGTGTGGGCTGTTATACTAAGCCTCTCAGAACCATCTTTCCCAGGGGCTGTGGGATGATCTGGACCTGTGGACAGTGGTGACACCCAAGGTATCTGGCAGAGACCCTCCACACCACTGACATGGGCTACTGGACAGAGAGACCCAGACAAAGCTACACACTCCTGGGGGCTGCACTGGTCCCTGGATGCCCTCAGCTGCCCCTGGTCTGGGCCAGAGCCACTCAAGCAGGCAGGTCAGAGGGCCCCCACAAGCCAGATAGATCAAGCCCTTAAACTCTGGGTAGTCCCTTGGATAAGCCCCTGGCCTCAGGTTTAGACTGTCCATCTGTCCATCTAGGCCAGTGTGTACAGAGCTGTTCCCTGGCCTGACAGCCATAGTACCCCAGCTACTCTGAATAACTGATGGGGTCCTCACAGCTCAGGGCTCACCTGAAGTCCCCCCTTTCCAGCCAAGCAAGGTGTCGAGGACTGCTGTGTCCCCAGTCTGGGACCTCTCCTCCAGGAATCCATGTGTGGGCCCACCAGGCTCCCAGATCCCCAGGGCAGGGTCAGTCTTGCTATGTGTCAACAGCTGGCTAGGCCCTGGCTCTGACACCATTAAACCTCATCTGTAGAATGGGGTGACCCTCACCCCTGTGTCAATCACCCCAGTGATGTACACATGCAGGAAGAAGGTAGACAATACTACACCCCTGGCCACTGCCCTCCCTCCTTTCCTTCCCACCCCCACCCCTATAGGCCACACAGCCAGGGAACTGGGTCCCTGAAGCCCCTGTTGTGGGCATAGATAAAGTCCCTGGGTGAGCCCACTGGCTCCAGAAACTTCTGGAGACCCTGCGGCTTCTGGGAAACCCTCTCCCCAGGGCTGAAAGCAGAAAGTCTCAGAGCTGGGGTCCTGTTTCCTGCCTGTCTGTTCCCTTCCCTATCCAGCTCCAGGTTGTGGGTGGGCAGAGAAATAGCTATGCAGATGTGACCCTACCCAACTCTGGAGCAGGTCTGGCCAGAGGGTCTGTGGCCACACAGGTGATACACCACCTCCTGCAAGGCCTCACCTGGTCCTTAGAGCATAAGGACCTCTGGCCCTGTGGGTTAGGGTTAGGGTTAGGCACTGAGGGGTGCTTTCCTGCCCGCACCACAGTGTACAAGCCCTGAGAGGCCCACCCAGGTGAGCCCAGCTGAGCTGGCTCCTCACTGCTACCCAGCCTGAATGCCTGCTGACCACCCTCCTCACCACCTGGCTCTGCTCCCTGAGCTCCCCAAACTTTAATCTGACCCTCCCCCTAGCTATCCATCATCTGTCATCTGTCAGCTCATCCTTTCATATGTCCATCTACCCATCTATCCCAAGACACTGATGAAGTGGCTGGCTCCGAGTGCAGCCCTTGCAGGAAGTGCACAGTGAGGTGACAGGGAGGTGGCCTGGAGCTTGGCCTTGTAGGGAAGAAGGTTGATAGAAGGCAAAAAAGTGGAGCAGCATTGCTGGGAGAGAGAGCATGTGTGGAATGGCCTGAGTGGAAGGGTGTAATTGGTGCCCAGGACTGAGCCCTCGGTACCTCCACGGACTCAACACTCAGGGACTCAGCACTCAATACCTCCAGGGACTCAATACTCAGTGCCTCTCTGGAACTCAGCACTAAACACCTCCAAGGACTTGGTAGCTACTCCTTGTGACTCAGCACTTAGCACCTCTCATAGACTTAGCACTCTGCATCCCCAAGGATTTAGTAGCTACCACTCCACGGGACTCAGTGCCTAGCACTATGAGGACTGAATCTTAGTCCTCCCAGGAACTAAATCCTTGGCACTCTAGCTTTGCAGAAGCATAAAGGGCAAGAAGGGAACTGCCAGGAGGAGGGGCTGGGGGTTGGCACAAGCCAGATTGGGAGATCTGCTCAGGCAGCTGGGGGCTCAGACTTCAGCAAGGGAGAAGTGGGGAGCCATGGAAAGCATCAAAGCAGGGGAAGAGTTTGCCCAGACCCAGGTAGGAGCTGGAACCACCAAGTCCTTCCAATGTCCCGCTCTTTTGAAGAACTGATGCTTTCACCCCAGACCAACCAGCTCCCAAATCACCTCCCCCCTCCCCTCCAACGCTGAGCCTCTTCTCCACCCCCAACTTGGGGCTGGTACAGGGGAGCTGGGGTCAGTCCAAGGGGCATCCACTTGCTGGCCTGAGAAGCCAGGGTGCCAGAGCTGCGTCTGGAAGAGCCAAGAGCCCTGGGCATGGGTGAAGAGAGAGGGCCACCTGCTTAGCCCACCCCCGGAGGCCCTGGGAAGCCAGAGAGAGGCAGGTCTCCCTTTGTGCCACACTGTTCACCTCCTCTCTGGGCCATCCAGGCCCTGGCTGCCCTCTTTACTGGCAGAGGGGAGAAAGGACATCTTCCTGGGTTTTCCCTGCCCCCTGCCCTGAACCCCACAAGCCTCTGTTCAGCTCCTAGAATAAGCCTCCAGCACCCCAGTTGGGGGCAGGACCCTAGCTGGCCACCCCATGCCTCCCAACTCCAGGTCTGCACCCACCCCCAACCTGGAGCCCACAGCCACTCCCACACTCCAGTGCAAGTGTCTTGGGTCCTCTGTGGTAGCTAAGGCCCCAGGTGGGCATGCCCTCCCACCTTGCATTGAGGACTCTGGGAGAGGACCCAGGCCCCACAGGCTTGCTAAGAGCCCAGCCAGACCCCGGGTCCCAGAACCCAGGCTGGAAAACTGCCCAGGGCTGGCCATCCTCACAGCCCACTGGCTACAGGGAGCCTCCATAGGTGCTCTCAGATGAGGCTGGCAGGTGGCTGGGGCCAGGGGATGAAAGGTAGATGTGGGAAGAGGGCTCAGGCATAGACCCCATGGATTCTGCCTTACCTGCATGCCTGCGGCTGCTGTGTCTGAGAGAGTGCCAGGGGCTGGAGGGTGGTGACCAAGTACGGCAGCCAGTCAGCTACATATCTACCTGACTTCCGTGTGGGACTCGCCCCTCCTCCTCAGTCCCTCCTGCCTCCCCGCCCGGGGAAGCCAGGGAGGAGCCAAACCAGCTGGGAAAGCCCTGACCCCAGGGGCCTCTGACAGGAGTGGTGATGGCAGGGTGGGGGTGGGTAGTCTCTAGAGGGTACCTGTTGTTCCCCCACAGGCCATCACCTGCCCCTGAGGAGGTGGTTTCGCTGTGAGATGGGGTTACTCGACATCCTCCTTAGGGGAGCAGACTAAGCAGGGGGCTTCAATGGATGGGCTCTGGCTAGTACCCCCAGCTGAGGCTCTCTCTGACCTGTAGCGTGGTCTCCACACTCCCTAAGAGCACCCAAACCTTTACCCCTATCCAGGGCTTATACCCTCAGAGAGGAAATGGAGCAGGGGATTGAGGCGAGACAGGCCCCAAATCCAGCACTCTGGGAGGCTGAGGCAGGTGGATTGCTTGCACTCAGGAGTCCAAGACCGTCCTGAGCAAGAGCAAGACCCTGTCTCTAAAAAGTAGCCGGGCACTGTGGTGGGAGCCTGTAGTTCCAGCTACTTAAGAGGATTGCTTGAGCCCAAGAGTTTGAGGTTGCTGTGAGCTATGACAACATAGCATTCTACAGGGGGGTGGGGGTGGGTGAGGGTGACAAAGTGAGACTATGTCTCCAAAAAAGAAACTCATCCCATTCTGAGTCCCTACCTGTGGATCCAGCTAGGGGAACTTTGGTATCTTGGGGGTACATGGCTGGCCTGAGATGCATGGAAGACTGGGGGAGGCCCCCACATCCCCAGGTCCCAAGCAGCTCTAGGCAGTCAGGGTGGCGGGCAACATTTGGCTGGCTGGGGTGGCCTGAGAGTGATCCTCATGTAAGAGTACTCTAAGGATACTGAGCCCAGGAGAGAGCAGACTGTGCCCAACAGGGAGCTCTCCAGGCAGAGCAGCTGAGTGGCAGGTGCTCCCCTAGTGTCATGGGGGAGTAGGGAGCACCCTGGTGTCACAGGAGAGTAGGGAACACCCCCAGTTTCATGGGGGATTAGGGAGCTCCCATAGTGTCATGAGGGAATAAAGAGCACCCCTGGTATCAAGGGGATGTAGGGAGCACCCCTGGTATCATGGAGGAGTAGGGAGAACCAGCAGTCACAGGGGCGGGGAGCACTCATGATGCCACTGTGTGGGGGCCAGCCCAGCAGTACTTTCTTGCTACTTAGGCCCAGGGTAAGGTCTGTTTGCTCCAGTTTCCCCAAGGGATAACATGGCTCCACCCACAGTTCTTGGGGGACCCAGGCTGTGATAGCCGCAGGGAACAGGACTAAATAGTGAGGTGGTGAAGACAAGGGATGAACTGGCTGCTCTGTGGGAGCAAGTCCAGGTGGAAAGCATTATGATTTGTGTGGCAGAAAACCCTCCATGGTGCTGGCTTCAACTATTAACTTTTTCCTATCAGTGAAGTCTGGCGTTACCTAGTCTCATACTAGTATTGCCTGCTCATAGTCATCAACCCAGACTCCCTTTAACTTGCTACTCTTAGACACATGGTCCTGCTATATGTTCCCAGATAGCCACTCAAGCTCCAGGCATCACATCCACATTCCAGCCTTCTGGAAGAGGAAAGGGTGAGGGAGGGAGGGCACCCCACCCTTCACACAGTTAGTCAAAACACCTTGCTGCAAGGAAGCCTGTGAAGGGTGTACTCTTTTCCTGGGAAGAAAGTAGGGCAATGGGGAGCCCTGCAGTCTGCCAAATTGGAAGCCAGAAATAGAAGGAGCAAGGGCAGTGGAGCCTGGAGCAACCCCTGTTCAAGATCTGCATCACAGGCCAGGCATGGGGGCTCACCCTGTAACCCCAGCACTCTGGGAGGTTGAAGTGTGTGGATTGCCTGAGTTCAGGAGTTCAAGACCAGCCTGAGCAAGAGTGAGACCCTATCTATAAAAATAGCCAGGCATTATGGGTGGCACCTATAGTCCCAGCTACTAGGGAGGCTGAGGCAAGAGAATCACTTGAGCCCAAGAATTTGAGGTTGCTATGAGGTATGACACCATAGCACTCTACTGGGAGTGACAAAGTGAGACTCTGTCTCAAAAAAAAAAAAAAAAAAGAAAGAAAAGAAAGAAAGAACGAAAGAAAGAAAGAAAAAAAGAAAAAGTTTTGCATCACAGCCACTCCTGGACCCTCACAGATGTCTCTCTCCAACCTCCAATACAACCTGTCCAGGATACTTCAATTTTTTTTTTTATTTTTGAGACAGGAGCCTCAAGCTGTCCCCCTGGGTAGAGTGCCATGGCATCACACTCACAGCAACCTCCAACTCCTGGGCTCAAGCAAGTCTCCTGCCTCAGCCTCCCAAG